CCCCCCCCCCCTAACAGGTGCAGGACCTGCCGGAAGCGAGGGAGTTCCAGCTAGAGAGGCTTTTGTCGATCATGTCGTCCATCGTGGCCGTTACCGAGGCGGGAACCAAGGCGGCCAACAGTATGGGAAGCACGGAGCTCTTCGCGCAGGTACACCAGTCACAACTCATCAGCAGACCGACCGCTCTCTCATTTTACGGACGTAATTTTTGTGCTGATTTTCCGCAGCTCATCAGACAAACGATTTTTTAAGGTTTGAGAAAATGGGGGCAAATAATTGTTTTCTTTCACGATGATTGTAAGTGTTTTCCGCAGGACCTAGAACCGAGGGGAGACCGTGGGATTATATCTTACCTACTTCACAGGTGAAGTGTTAGACTAGTACCGGCAAAAGAAGGTACTGAGTAGAGAGTAGAGAGATCGGAACGGTTTTTAATGTGAAAACAACAACAACAACAACAACAACAACAACAACCACGACGTCATCATGCACAGTTAGTTCTGCGGAGGGGGGATCTGCTTCACCGGAATATTCTTTGTTGTCCTAAGCCGGGCGAAATTGCCCTCTTCAAGGGTGTCCTTGCGGCGAGGATCGGCTGTGCTCTTGCACTGGCGGATCCTGCTTTTCTGGATCCGGGGCCTTCGCAGCAGTGCAGCGTAAATCCCCTCGCTTCTCGTTGTAGCCTTGTCCTCAACCTGGTCGGAGAGACGCTACCAGCAATAGCTTTGAAGCATTAGACATGCCAGAAATACGCCAACAGTCGACTGTCTCTATCCAAACGGAGCAACATCGAGCCTTCCTAAACTAAGGACTTCACAATGGAAATAGGTCTGTTTTCCGTTTTGGGGAGACGAAAAGGAAGGGGGGTAAATGGAAAGAGAGCGCCAAGGATCCGGAGGTGTGGTACAACAAGGTCGAGGACGGGGCGGCATGGTTCATGAGGAAATGGCACAGGCAGGAGGCGGAAGCGTCCGCGAAGCGCCAGCGCGCGAGGGAAGCAGAAGCAGAGAGTACGACCATCTCAGGACCGAAGAGAAAGAGAGCCGGGGAAGCGGCGGTGGGGGGGAAGAAACGGCGACCGGGCACTGCTGTAGAAGCGAGTAGGGCGGCCGAGGTAGCACTTGTGGCGAACTATATACCCGGCTGATGTTGTTGCGCCCTGTTTCCCTCCCTGCTGTATGCTATACTCCTTTATGTATGTCCTTTGTATTGTCTTCGGCCTCTGTGCTGTGTTTCTTTTTTTCATGACCTCCTTGCCTACTCTGCTGTGTTGGGTACCTTGATCTCGCTTTGCTGTTGCCTTTGGTTTTTGTACGTCTGGCTGTCTGCCGATCTGCCGCCTCTTTGTCCTGTTTGCTCCGTTACTCCCATGCCCTGGTGCGTAGTGCCTGGTGCTGGTACGTTACCCTTTGATTTTTCCTTTAGGCGGGTGTGGGAAGCGTCCTCCTTCATCTTTATTTTTGTTTTTGTTATGATCGGTTTCCGAGGGCTCTTTTCTCGAACGGTCGGTGCGATACCTGTTGTTTTCTATCATTTTGTTTTATTTTTCCGAGTGGTTTGTACCCTATTTATTCATTTTTTTTCCCCGCGGCGTCGTATGTGCCGGGTTTTGAAACCACGGGCTCTCCATATTTTGTGGACTACAGAGCCAATGTGAGAAACAACAACAATAACAACCTACCGTAGGTGGCATGACGTAAGATATCACACCCCCTGGGTCGGTGTTCGAAGCTCGATATCTCGGTAGGAAAAACAGTGACGGTGCCGAAAAACGGTGGGGTTGGAACCGTCTCGTCGAAAGCTTTCCGAAAACGCGTAATTTGATTCGGCATCCTCTTCGCCGTGGAGTTATGGAGCTTTGAAAATCGGTCCAGGGGGTGTGAAATTTTATGCAACCTAGGGTATTGAGTTGATACACGGTGTCATGTGCCACGTGCCCGTCGTCAGCTTGAAGGGGCTTGTGATATGCGTAACATCATGTTTTGACGCAATCCTTTCGTAGCCAAACACTTGTAACCATGCTTCCGAGGATTAGAGGAGGTGAAATCCAGAGAGAGACGAGAACGAGAATGACAGAAAGATGAGGTACAATATGTGGATGGAGAGAGAAGAGAGCGAGAGAGAGAGAGAGAGAGAGAGAGAGAGAGAGAGAGAGAAAGAGAGAGAGAGAGAGGAGAGAGATCTGGCGCAAGCCAATACCAAAACCACCCTCCTGGCATTCGGAAACAGTTGACACTGGGGCAAATTTCGTTCTGGATTCATCGATACACGTGAATGCGGCTTTAATTTCACCGATAGGAGTAATGCTACGGTAGGGGGGTCACATTATGGGGCATATGTGACCGACACCACAGGACTGCGCTATATTTGATCAGCCAGAGTATACACCAATTCTGTAGGCACACTTGTGTTCCCGTGTCAGTCACTGATTGATTGTAATAACAATAAGTATTGAAGAGCGTCACACAACACAGGCCCAATAGCAAATTGATTACAAAAAGCCGGTCACGAGGGGTATCCCCCCTTCCGTAGCATAGCTCATTGTTTGATGACTGCGGGCGGCAAATCCGTCTATCGTTGTGCGCAGTGCACCGCGAGATGGTCTGGATCGAGAGCTGTACACCACAGCAGGTCTAGTTCGACACGCTAGGCTTGACTCACTTCCATACGTAATTCAGCGATGAAGGTTTTGGGGTTCTGTGCCATTCCCATGCCAAGACCGCATTTTTAGCGGACTTCCACACTAAACTTGAGAGAGGCCACGAAACCCGTGACGCTTGAGGCGCCCCCCCTAGCCGTTCCTTGGGGCCCGTTCCTGCGACGTATAGGGGGATGCCATGCTAAAAATGCTGAGTTTTTCCGCTGATTGGACAACTGTAATAGTCGGAGTCTTTGAGTTCTTCGCCAGTACCGGATTCTGGCACTTCCAGCGACCGGTGCACCAACTTTGTGTTGCGCCTCATGCCCCATGATACACGGTTTCGTTCATCTTTCCACCCAGGCACCGTCGCGAAATGTCTGCCGTATCACCGTAGAATAACCTAGTTTGTGCTGCCCTCGCCCTTCCCTGCTGTCCTCTTCTTTCGGAAACAAAGATCAAGTCGTTGACGAAGCTTAACCTGATGAGAGACTGCGGACAGCGCAAGAGCTTTGACCTGGACTGTCCTAGCTACAGGTATGCGCTCGCCTTGCTCTGGGTGTAAGTTGATGCGTCCACAGGGTTTCTGCTGCGCGTCTCGTTGTGATCCAGTCAGACTGAGGAAGCAAAGCTCCCACGGCAACGGGTTGTTCACTCTTCTTGTGCGGACTCAAGGCACACGCTCGCTGCAAAGGTCGGGCGCGCACGCTCATTCTCAAGCACGCCAAAGGGTTACCCGTTCGTACGAGCAAGTCACCGCCGTCTCTTACCTTTTGCGACGAGACTTGCTCTTGATGGGGCGCACCCCGACACTTCACGACCGCGCCGCCGAAAGGGATAGGACTTGTACCGAATACCCAGTACCTTAGGTTGCATAAGGTTCCACGCCCTCCCTTTTTGACCGTTACTGAAATATCGACTGCTCCACGACGACAATGATGCCACAACAATCGACGAATTGGCTGTTCCGACGCGGCCGTTGCCGGCACCGTGACCGCTGTTTTGCTACAGAGCACTCGAGCTTTTGATATAGGTTCAGGGCGTGTGGTGTCTTGTTCGAAATTGCGGTATTAATAGTACTGAACCCGGCGTGAGCGATGCTGCGTACGGTGTGTTCATTTTTTGTCCTCCGTCCTTTTCTGTGCGTCGTCGTGTTTTCAAGCCGTTGGCGTCCTGCTGTCGAATGGCGACCCTTGTTTTCCCGCCGCGTGCCTCCACAAACACCCACGTGTTGCGTCGCGCCAGGTGCAACATTTCTAGAGAGCTCGCGGAGGCCGTCGCGAAGGAAATCGGCCTCGACCTGTCGCAGTACCTCGTTACGGCGTAACCAAACCGGACCGCGAGTTCTAGTAAACTTCCTGCTCCAGTGCCGACTCACGAAGCCAGATTGACGGCTTGTGGGAGTACCGGGAGATTCCTGACTCGAGCAGTGTCGAAAAATGGAATGCCGGTTGACGATTTGCGGTGGAGTATTAGGAGATTGACGGAATACCGAGATTCCTGGCTCCAGCGGTTTCGAAAAATGGAATGCCTATAGACGGTTTGCGGAGGAGTATTAGGAGATCCCGGGCTCGAGTAGTGTTGACGCTGTATTCGAAGGTGGAGATATTTTGGCGAATCCGAGGAGCACTAGGAGACTCCAGGCTCCAGCGGTGTCGAATATGGAATACCGATTGACGGATTGCGGAGGACACGAAACAAAACAAACGGCACTTGATGACATCACAATCAATTGGAGCCGTGGGCACACGGCAATCTATTCGGAATACCGATTGACGGATTGCGGAGGAGTGTCAGGAGATTCCTGGCTCTACATGTAGTTTCCAAGGTGGAGATGCGTTGACGGTTTTCATGCCGCCGGTGGTTGTTGCCACCGACCGGCAAGCACGTCCGCCGATTACGTCATCATCTTGCGCGGTGAAGTTTCGCGGGCGTCACCACCCCGGGCGAAAGCTGCTCGCGGCACGTCTTACCATCGGCTTGCTCGTTGCTCCACTCGTTGTCTCGTAGAAAGTTGCCGAGGGTTAGACTATTTCACCCCAATCATGAGGTTCTTTCGAGAACAATGAGCGTGTAACTGCCGTCCCCTGCCTTCTCCCCAGTTCCAAATGTATGTGGGTTCTCCACGCCATCGGCGCCAACACCAGTTGCCCCGCCCCAGGGAACGCCCCGAGTACACTCTCCTGCTCCCTTTCGCGACTCGAGCCACGTCCTATCGTACTGTAGGCGTCATGAAAGATATCACACGACCTGGACCGTTTTTTCAAAGCTCGATTTGTCCACAGGGGAATGCGTTGCAGCGCCGAAAACGGTGGCATTGAAGCCGTCTCGTCGAGAGCTTTCCGAAAGCGTTGTATCGTTTGGTTCTTGATTCTCCTCGTCGCAGAGTAGTCGAGCATTGAAAATCGGTCCAGGGGGTGTGGCATCTTGTGCCACCTCAGTATCCTGCTCGTGTCCGTTCGTTTCCCTGTGTTTGTTCTCTCTGTCATGAAGACAAGGGAGTGATAAAATACGTACGGTAATTTGGAGATTCTACATGTAGAAATTTGGAAGCAAAAACGCGGGGGAAACTGTACCCGTTCGAGACACAAAACAACCACACACAGTCGAAAGGGTGGTGCTGAGGTCTTTTCAGCCAGCACATCGAGGGAAACCGGCCGGAAACTGGGCGTCTCTTTTCAATCTTTTGTTGCATGCTACTTCTATTTTTTCCATTCCTCCTTCGTCCTGTGTATCTGCCCCTTGCTTGTCTTCCTTGATATGCCTACAGTACTACTGTATCATACACGATGATCTGCAGCATGTAACCGCTCTTCTGACAAAACGTCAGGGTGTACAATTTTCGTGTCCTCGACTTGAAAAGATATCCGTGTGTTGTTTCTCTGAGTGATTCATCTAGACTATATATTTTTGCACACTTAGAAGTGTGTGAGGAAGAACCCCTTCCACAGCGGGGACATCCGAACCCGGCTTCGACACATATTTCCTTGATTTCAATTTGACGCCCTTGGTTTCTCCCGTAGCGCCCTCGGTTTCTATTGTGACGCCAATCCGCGGTTTCAGTCTCGCGCCCTTGGTTTCTCTCGTACCGCCCTTGGTTACAGTTGTGTCGACGGTCCTCGGTTTCAACCTGGCGCCCTTTGTTATAATGGCTCTCTTGTTGCCTTTGTGGTTTCAATTGTTGCGACGGTTCTCTTTATTAATCTGGCGTCCTTGGCTTCTTTTACTGCGACAGTGCTCGGTTTCAGTTACACGCCTTTGGTTTCAATTGCTCTCGTGGCGCCTTTGGATTGATTGTTGCGACAGTCCGTGGTTTCAGTCTGGCCTCCTTGGTTTCCATCGCGCTCGTACCGCCTTTGATTTCTATTGTGACGACAGTTCTCGGTTTCTGCCTACCGCCCTTGGTTTCCATTGCTCTGATGCTGCCTTTGGTTTCCAATGTGGCAGCAGTCCTTGGTTTCAATCTGGCGCCCTTGGATCCAATTGCTGTCGAACCGACCTTCATTTCTGTTGTGATGACAGTGCTCGGTTTCAATCTCGTGTGCCCTTGGTTCAAATTGCTCTCGTACCGCCCTTGCTTTCGATCTTGACAACAAACAGTTCTCTGTTCCAACCTCGCGCCCTTGGTTCAAATTGCTCCCGTGCCGCCCTTGGTTTCAATTGTGACGATAGTCCTATGTTTCAACCTGGAGCCCTTGGTTTCAATTGCTCTCGTCCGGCCCCCGCTCTCAGTTTTTGCCACCGCCCTCGGTTTCAATCTGGCCCCCTCTGATTCAAATGTTGTCGTGCGGCGCTTGGTTTCAATTGCTGCGAAAGTCCTCGGTTTCAATTTCGCGCCCTTTGTTTCAATTGCTCTCGTGCTGCCCTTGGTTTCAGTTGTTACGAGGCTCCTCGGTCTACATTGCTCTCATACATACCTCCTTTGGATTCAAATGTTGCAAAAAGTCCTCGGTTTCAACCTGGCGCCCTTGGTTCCATTTGCTCTCGTACCACCCTTGGTTGCGACTTCTTTCGCTAGCACCCGACTGCTTTGTCATTAGTTTCGAGTTTAGTTTAGATTCGCATCGATCGTTGTTACCACCCCCGTACCAAGTCCTAAGCTCACACAAAGACCGCCGGTCGAAGAACGATGTCAACGTACATGATGCTCACCACGAGGACAAAAAAAGATTGAACATTTTAGAAATTCACAGTTTCGGACTGGAGCTCCGAAAAAACTGAAAAAAGGAAGCAGATTTATGGAGTAGCAAATTTCCGGGAAGCTTCCTGCCAGGCCAAATTTTCAGATTTAAGGGGAGCTTGTGTGATTGGCTGTGGGAGACAGTCCTGTATTAATTGAGAGGGCAGCAGGGGCAGCGTCGGCCGGGCGAACGACACCCCCACGCTGTGGCTCCACGGAGACTGCGTGACACCCGGCCGTTCACAGCACTCCAGTCTGCCCTCGCTGACGGCCGTTGCATCGGCGATGTGGCATTCGGCAACGGGTTCGAGAAGGACACTGACACCGTGAGAGCAGCCAACGTTATGTACCACATCCACCAACAGCACCTGCAGCACAACAGACAACTTCTGCCATCCATCGCCGGCAAGAAAAACTAAAACTCACCTTGTTGCGCCAGCATTAGATCGTAGCTCGGGTTCCATATCTTGCTCTTCGTCGCCTTCCTGGCCTTCTTCGCTGTGGGCGCTGCTGGTCTGGGCGCTGCTGGTGCGTCCACTGCTACCACATCCTCGTCGTCGCCTCCCAGAGACACCTCTCCCCCGTCTGCCTCAGTTTCACTGGCGCGTTGGTGAACTAAGCCAGCAAATCCCTCGGCGGCCTTCTGGCGCGCAGACTCTCCTCTCCCGAGCCTAATCCCAGCCTCTACGGCCTTTTCCGAGGGTGCTGGGGTTCTCTTGCTAGCCCTTGACATGTTCGTGGTGCAGACCGGGTGTGCGTCTGCCAATTCAGGTTTTTCCAAAACTTTTTCCGATCGAAGCGGCGCGAAAGCCGCTTCGATCGGAAAAAAAAATCGATTCAGGGTTAATAAATCTGGAAATGTCGAGACTGTCAAGAGCGTTCCCCAGAACGCCGGCTTAAATCTGCTTTTCCCTCTTCATTCAGCTTCCGTAAATATTTTTTTATGTCCGAAACTGTCAAGNGCAAACCACGCGTGAGGTGAACCAAGCAAACCACGGGGGGGGGTCTGTTATAGTAGTTACTGCTTTGTCTCAGCAGACAACAACAAACAGGCTCCATCTGCTGCCACCCAGCTTTCCATGTGCTACTCAATGAAAGCAGCAGAGGAGACTCCATCTACAGCAGCAGTAATATCTACAGCAGTGAGCAGAATTGTGCGTGCATAGAAGAGGCTGACTACTGTGACCTACATCTAGCGTACAAGGGGCTCCATCGCAAAGCATCACCAGAGGAGGCTGGCTCTACCGTAAGTGACACAAGATAACACACCCCGGTGATAACATTTCTGAGTTTAAAAATACTTATCACCGGTGTGGTATCCTGTGGGGGGTGTTGTATCTAATGTATCCCGGGTGATAAAGTGCAGCTCGCAGGGAGCCCTAAGGGGGTGTGATAAACCGGGGGGGG